TCCTTATCTGGGATAATATTAGCATAACCAAAGCCATCGTCTTTCCATATGCAGAATACGACGCGAAATCCTCGAAGCACTGCGCTTTCGCGAGAGATGAACGTAGTGCCGCGTTCCCGCATTTTTCTTGCGCTCAGATTTGACCCAAAAGCAAAGTAAAGCTCTGTTTCTTCCATGGGTGTACAGTGTCCTTGACTGTTTTATACCAAGCTGTGGTCGCTGATGAAATAGAGTCACACTTGATCGCCCTAGTGTGCGATGATGCTCACAGTTGCATCTCATTAGCTCATTAGCTGTCCCAGGCGTTTCAAAGTCATGGAGCGGCGTGAGGGAGAGTGTAGCCTACGTAGCTGGTGGGATTATTGTGCCTGGGATACTTTCTTGGCGGTGGACCTGCCATTCGAAGCGAGTGAAAGGTGAAATCCCTCCTTGCCTTGCTCCCAATCTTCACGCGGCTTCGCCGCCAAAAAACTACAGCACTCGCGGCTAAATCGCCAGATACGCAAGCTAAGGAGAGTGCGAGTCCCCGTTCCCTTCTTCCTGCCGATCCCTTCTGTGTCTTCTCTCCATGAGTCACCATTTTATGAAATCGGCACCCCATGTATGGTAATCATCCTAGAATACGAGCAGTCTCTCTTTTTTTAATAGTCCGCCTAGCAAAACGCGCGAGACGAGCAAATGAACATGAGCATGAATGAAGGCGTGAGACAGGAGAGCACTCCTCGCCTCTTTCCTTCGATCTTTCGTGCGCGTGCACTCCCCTCACTAAATCCGAAGAAAAAGAGAGACTGCTCGCAGTTTATAATCATCCGTAATCAGGGAAATTTTTGGCTTTGGAATCCCTAATTTAGCTTAAAAAGAAATCCGGAATTCTGCTGCCGTTAACTGAGAAAATGCTTTTGATCAAAAGAAAAACAAACCCAGATTTTGGATATCTCAAGGAATTACGTCTTGCACAAGACTTTTTGCAGATGATATGAAGGTGTCTTGAGTACTGAGGGACACTAAGCAAGATGTGGGAGAACTCGGCAGAAAGATCTTACTTGTTTGGAATATTGGGGCAATTCAGATTTAACACTGATAAATGCGAAGTGATGCGTATTTCTAAAAAGACAAACACCGTCGTCGCAAGCTAAGGAACCTGAATTGATATTGTTATTGGAAATCATGCATTGCACGCGCAATCTACAGATTAGTCAGGTATCTGCTAGCAGATAACTAACTAATCTGTGGGTTCTGTAGACTAGGTTGCGCTGATTTCCAAAATTAGCTATAGGCTCTTAGCCAATGAAAAGACAGTTATATTCTAATTCGCTACCCCGCTCAAACGAATATAAAACATTTATCATGTAACAAGCAACCTCAATTGGGGTGTGTCAACACGAGCCGTGTGCGACCCTCTTTATTATGCCTTCATCAACAGAATGGATGGAAATAATACAACAAACAGAATGAAAACTCGGAAATGTAAAAAATTACAGCAAGAAAAACAACCCAACAAAATGATCTAAACTATGCTCGTATAACAATGATTCATACAAAACGTGCTAAAACTTTTCATATAGCAGCATGCAAAAAACTACGTCTAAGAGAAACCCCTGGTCACTGGGTATTTAATTTTGAGGGCATAGGGAGAGGGTCTCAATGGGGTTAACCGATAGGCGTAAAACGGCCAAAAATTTAGCCGATAGCCGTAAAAATGGAAAAGTTTTAACCGTTAGCCGTAAATAGGGTAAAAAAGAGTTAACCGTAAAAGAAATTGTTCCTTAGATTTGCTACTTTTAAGGAAGGGAATAAACTCACTTATGGTTGTGTTTTTTATTTCCCGGCTAGTGTGACTCCGTACGCATGTAAGGCGAAGCGCCTTTCAGGCGTTAACCAAGACCTATAGCTAGGCTCCATTCCGGCGCTCTATCGGGGAACTAATTTTTTCCATAGCGAAAGTGTGGCTTCTCGCTGGGGATTAATATTTGCAATTTTCGGGAGGTCGTGCCCTCGAAACACTAGTGAAACAGCACGCAGAGACGTCGTCGGAAGACCTTTATTTTGATTTAAAAATACAAAAAAATACAGGTTAATTAATATTTAACTTTTTGAAACAAAAGCAGTTAATTTTTGACTTTTTCGTTAACCGTAACTGAAAAAAATTAACCGATAGCCGTAAAAGAGCCAAAATTTTAGCCGATAACCGTAAAAGCCACCACCCCATTGAGACCCTCTAGGGACGGTCGTAAGACGCGAATGAACATAAATGAGAACAACTCAAATATATAGCCTACCGCTGATGAAGCAACAGAACAGCATACCATGTAACACCCCAAAGAAAAGGTTACATAACCCATGATCAATACATATAGTGGTTATAGGTGGCCAAGAGTTTGGAGAAGAAAAAATAATTATTTTCATCCTGGAGTAGGCCTGGGGAATAGTTTCGAAGGCTCGATCAAGAGACAAGCTGTACAGCGGTCATAACCTAAAGCATAGGAAAATTCAAGATGGAGGACGGTAAGCATACTTTCCCACTGACTTACTACTTAAATTTATCCTTAATTTGTCTCTATTCAGTGTAAAAAATGTTTTCTTTATGTTATTAAGTCTTTGCTCATATTTATTTCACGAAAATGAAACGTTTGCAACTGTACGCGGCGTTGATTTTCAGCTTTTTCGTGATTGATTGGTCTGGTTTGTTGCGGTATGTCGATGTGTTGTTCTTCTGATTTCAACTAATCTCACTAGTATTACCTATCCTTAAGGGTTACTCCAATTTATACTTGGGTTCAAGTGCTAGCAGAAATTCTGCCATTACTCTCATAAGTGACCATGAAAAATGTACCTTTTTCCTTTGTAAATATCATTTTTGGTTTACGAATTTTCTCAAAATTCTAACAGTTTGAAATGTATTTGTTTTAGTTGTTGATTAGTTGTTTAGCTCAGTTTCCATTGGGATCATTAGACCCTTTATAAGCCGCTCATTGTGAATTTTGCAGTACTTGACACTGAACAGTTTACTCGTGGCGGCGTTTTTCGTTTCTTTGAGGTTTATAGGTTTACCTAGATTTAATTTGTAGTAATTGTACTTTTGCATTGCTTTTTCAAAATGATCTGGCACCCGTTTACTTTGTTAATTTTTTGCTCAGCATAACTTGTTAGTGCTTATGATGTATCTTAAATCTAGCTGTTCTTAGTGCATATTTATAATTTATCCCCTATATTTTGGTGCTTTTGCTGTACTCTTATCGATATAATACACAATAATTTCTTTGTTAGCGTAAAATTCCTGAGCAGACAAGGAAGTGTATTTATCAAAAATAATATTAACAAAATGATCTAGACATTTAGTGCACTTGGAAAAATACATGTAAATCCATGACAAAAAGTTCTCTGTACATCGTACCAAGGTGAAACTAACCTTGTAGTTTACTATGTTGTTTTGGTAGATCTTGAATTGGAGCATGAAGGAGCAGCTCCAGGGTCCACCTCACAGCCAGTTAGGCGAAACATTTCTTTAAAACTGAAAGCAAAGAGCAAGTCAGCAAGCTCATTGTCATCTGGGAAAAGCAAGAAAAAGGAAGGAAAAAGTGGAGAAAAGTCTAGGACAGGATCTGAAGGTAAAGAAGCTAATTTTCTTTCAACACTGTACAATGTATGTCTGGTTTTAAGCCTTGCTGTCATGTTGTTTCCTTAGACAAGAAACGTTAGTCCACTTTGTCTCTTCACCCAGGTGTATAAATGGGAACCTGAGGCATGCTGTATGAAGGTTTTGAGAGACACACACTCTTGAGCATCCGGTCAGTGTAAAAGGAAGACTGCGGACTGCGGACTGCGGACTGTGGACTGCAGACTGCAGACCAGGGGTAAAATGCAGACTGAGTGTGAAATGCAGACTACAGACTGAGAGTAAAACGCAGGCTGCAGTAAAATGCAGACTGAGCATAAACTGTAGTCGCAGAAGGGTTTAAGGGCAAATAAAATCCCGCAAAATACATGTAAACAAACACTTACTTGACGACATATATCTGCTTTCACAAATGCATTCATTCTTCTCTGTAACTTTGTTGACGACCCAAAAACATAATCGCAATCTTGAACCTTTTTTTTTTCCATCTGAGCGTGGATAATTAATAGATAGACTTTACTTTCTATTATCCATTGTCCGAGAGACCTCATGCTCCAGTTTTCAATGCATGTGACTGTGAATTGGTACAACACGATGATGTTTACGCGTAAATAAAAGCTGCTGACCCAAAATACTGTACAGAAAGAAATGGGAGTAAATCATTCCAACAACAAAGAAAGATGTTCTACAGGAAATTTGGATGACCTTCTATGAAAGTATTGCAAATCAAGGTAGGCGGACGTAAGCTGTTCGGACGTTCATTGAAACTTCTGGCGAATGTTGTGAATATGCAATGTACTTCGACAAGGAAGCGAGGTGTGTAACTGATACCAGCTAGCTAATCAAAGCAGGCGTATTTTGCTGTGCGATCCATTTGGACTTTTGACTGACCAAGCGTTGGGGCGAGTCAAAAAATGATTCAATACAATAAAACGCTGGCTCTGAGGCTATAATTAAGTGTTTAAAAAGTCTCCAGTCACTCTTAATTCTGCATTTTACCCCTAGCCTGCATTTTACTCTCAGTCTGCAGTCTGCATTTTACACTCAGTCTGCATTTTACCCCTGGTCCGCAGTCTGCAGTCAGCAGTCTGCATTTTACACCGACTGCTTGAGCATCTCTGCCAATAAGAGCCTGAGACAGTGGATCCCCTGTGGCTTTTATGAGCATGACCCTGTCTACTTTCATACGAAAATGGAATATAGAATATAGAACATAGAACACATACAGTGCTTGAAAAATCTTGAATTCCAGCTTGACCTTGGGGCAAGCAGCTCTCATATTTTGCTTGCTTAGGGCCACCTCTTGGTTGCGTTAGTTAATGATTTTATGTTGTTCTTGACCCTCATTGGGCAAGTGAGTCTTAAAAGTTACTTTCCCAGCAAGAAAATTCACTTGACAAGGCTAGTGGATGGGACCTGTTTTGAGCCCTGCAATAGAAATTTGTTGCGGTTCATTTCTTTACCTACTAATTGTACATGTAAACGTGTATATCCAGCAACTTGAGATCTGAGCAACAGCCCTGCTTGAGGAAATAAGCAACATTGATAAGTTTGTACTGTGAATGTTTGTTTATTTAAAAGAGACAATCAGTATCAAGGCTCAAAATAACGGACATGAAATTCATTGTGGCGTTCTTTTTCTTTAAAGGGTTTAGTGCAAAGCAGCTAAAAAAGCCAAAGAAAAAAGAAATCATTACAGCGTTATAGAGCAAATGCATTAAGCGACAACTATATGAAAAATAACATAAATCGTTCACATCCAAAAATGACCGGCAAGATGAGAGTTTGACCAGTCAAGCCCACCATCAGGCCGGACATTGTCCGTTGACCAAACGTTATTTTGAGCCCTGAGTATTACAGTGGAATCTCGATATAATGAACCTATGTATAACAAAGTCCTTGGTATAAATAACGATTTTCTTTACCCCAGTCATAGAAAGATATGAAAAAGAACCTCGATATTTGTAACGAGACCTCGTCAATATAGCAAACACATTTTGCCAGTCACTTGGCCCTTCATTAAAACGAGGTTCCACTGTACAGACGTTTCTAGAACCTTCTGGAAAAATGGGTTTTTCAAGAATGGTCTTTTTTTCGTTACATCTTACTTGTTTTCCCCCTTTTGCCACTAACTGATCTGTCAGAGAGTTCTCTTGTATTTTGGCTCATAAATAAATTTCAAGTTGTTTTTGAAAACTTCCAAAGCTCTGGTAAATTAATTAAGTTGAATGGCAACAAGCATGTCCCTGTGATGAGCTTGTATCCCATCCAGAGAGGTTAGCCATACTCCTACGGTGTAGATGCTTCATGCTACAGAAATTAGGTTAGGCTCTGGCTGTTTGGGCATCAAGATGTAGGTCTGCCTCTACCTGCTTTTGCGTAGAGTTACACTGCTCTATTGTATGTTAATTCTAGCCTTTAGTTGTACAACAGTAATTTATTGTGTACTGTAAGTGACAAAATTCTATCCTTTAAGTAAAAGTTCTTATATTTTTTAAAAGAATTTGTTATTTTGTGTATCAGCTGCCATACAACTATGATTCTTTATAATGAAATAGAAAAAGAGCTGTTTGTTTGTTTGTTTACACAAATCCTGGTCAAAGTTATTTGATCATTTATTTTTGCTTGGATTTGTGTAAAAGTTATTCAGGTATAGGCCATAGAGTACAGTTAGGTTGTAATGAACGGTTGTGCGGTTTTCAGATGATAAGATTCAAGTTAAATCAAGTAAACTGCATACGAAACATTTCACCAGATTGTTAAAAGTCCTCTTAGCTGCAAGATTATACTTTTTGAAGCCCTGGATAGTTATTGCCAAGGAGCTGTGAGACGACAGCCATAAAGCCCTGTGCAAAAGTTTCAAGGCATAATGAATCTCAAAGCGATGTAACATAGTAGTGTAAGGTAACTTTTATGGTGTAATGCAGAACAGAGAATGCATTTTTTCCAAGCAAACATGTGCACAGAATAATGCATGAGAGCATTCCATGACAGTAAATGACGGACACATTCATGACTAACCTGCAGCATGCATTCTCATGAATTATGGTAATTCATAACATTTCTAAACAAATTGAACAGGGTGTGCGTATAAGTAAAATCGTTGCTCACTGGTGCTTAGTGATAGCTACATGTATAACAAGTTTTATTCTTATGTGTATGTCATATCTATTAGGTGATAAGGAAAGTAAAAGGAAACAAAAGTCCCCTGGAACAGCTGCAGCAGCTCAAGTGGTTGTCATGAGAGAACTCAAGTGGGATCATCAAGTATGTACTATTATTTTTATTAATTTTATGATTTCTGCTCATTCAGCCCCAGTCACTTAGCCCCTATTTGCAGGGTGCAAAGAAAGTCAGTTTTACAGCCTGCCATTCGAGCAAGCTGTAGCAAGCATTACTAGCCCAAAAGTCATTTCAAGTAGCCCCATTATAACCCTTTTTGATTAGCAGGATTGATTCTGTAATTATTTTTTAGTTTGTAATTTTTGAGGGCTCTAGGTTAGAAAACTGTAATAGGTTATTGCGCTTCCCTCTTTAAATAAAGTCATCGTAAACTGTATTGTATTGTATTTTATAAAATAACTGAGATAGTACGCGTGATCTGATTGGTCAAAAACCTATGGTTTATTATACCGGTAAACCCATAGAAAAAGGCATCCGGACCACGAGCCATAAACAAAACCGGCTATTGATCTGCAAACGATTTTAGAAAGGCTAAAAAACAGAACAAGTTACTTACACAGCCCTTCTTAATATTAAAAGCGTTGGTTTTCACATTTTATTACTGAGCGTCACAATTCGCTACTGCCATAGCTTTAGAAGTTATAAAGTACAAAGCTGGAAAACAGTTTACATTTCACGACGATGCCAAATCGCAGAGAAAGACAACAACTGTGTGAATTTCTGGTGTACAAAGTCTCTAGGAAAACTTAACAATGTGCCAACCAGCAACAAAACGGATAGTTTTAGCATTCTTGATTTATTTTATTTCAAAATTAAATTCCTTAATCAAAGAAATTGTTTCAAAAAGAGATCTCTGATCAAGATATGGTACAAAATCGGCCGCTGGAGGTTGTAAACAAGCTGCCAACGATGATGAAAGATGTCAGAGTTTCGGGCTAGTTTTTTCCAACATTTGCACAAATTATTCGATGATATCGATGCCATGACCTACCTCACACCACCTGACTTCACAAATCGACAAATATTAACGCCAATATGTGGCTACGGCAAAGAAACCTTTCTCCACCACTGACATATTTCCATCGGTCGCTGTACGTGCATATAAAGTTACATGCGACAACTTCGCAAATGCAGCCACGTCGTTACCGCAGCATTTCTTGATCATAATAAAGTCCAGGAAACAGATCTTAAACCACTGCGGCTTGTAAAAAGTGAATGAAGTCCTCCATTACAATAGCTGCCAGTTTCCTCTGTAAGCACGAAATTCTTACGGATCGACTCAACAAAATACAGCTGCGTACAGTCTGATGTTCAATCAATTTCTACTTCTGTAGTAAACAAACCATGAACGTATTCTTTCATTGTACGTTCGCATGAATATGTGTTGACTTTTCCTGTAAAACAGCTTTCATAAGTTATCATGTAATGAGTGCAAAAACTCGTGTTTTGAAGTGCTGCTGTTTGTTGTTTGACTGAACTGAGTTTTGAGAAAGTTTAGCGCTATTAAATCGTGAGTCGTGATTGGCTTATGATGACTTTAGAGAGAAGACATGACTTGATCACGGTACTAAAATCATATTTTTTACCTAAAAGACTCCATTTTATTAAAAGTTATTTTATAAAAGCAATAGACCACACTTTCTATGGGTTTACCGGCGTGATAACCCACTTGGGATGTTGGGAGAACACTCGAAAAGCTTGTAAATCACTCGCCTTCGGCTCGTGATTTACAAGCTTTTCTCGTGTTCTCCCAACATCCCGCGTGGGTTATCACGCCGGTAAACCCATAGAAAGTGTGGTCTATTGCTTAAGTAATTTGAATTTCCCCAAAGCACAGCACTTGCCCGTCGGGCAAGTTAAGAACAAAATTCACTAGCCTGATAGCAGAATCCACTAGCCTTAGGATATCGGACATGACTTTCTTTGCACACTGTATTTGTAAGTCATTCACCGTAAATGACCTAATAAAAGTCCGCTTCCACATAAACACCGCCTCAATGCTGTTAAAATTTTATTAGATGCCCCTGTCTAATTCTTGGTTTGCACGTGACGTCACTAAAACTCAAACTAAGAAACTATCTATTCTTCTGAGTTCTTCTTTCATGGGGTATTACAGCACCTAACACCTTTATATAAACAAATTTCTGGTTCCAAAGGGTTCTTGAATTTACAGGCTTTTGCATGGCATGGCATTTAGCTGATGGCCAGGAGAGCTCTTATGTGGGTTAAAAACATTACCAATTTTGGGAGATTTTGCTATCTAAACATTCCTTGTCTCAGAATAAATATTACTTTAATCTTTATGAGTTCCTCAAGCGAAGAATTCACGCAATAGTAAGAAAACTCGAAAACAGATGTTTCTGTTGGTATCCAGCGGCTATATTGGTGTCCCTGAAAGGGACTCCAACATGGCATTTCCATACAAAGCTTTATAAATTTCAGTAAATTGTTTTGATTTTTGGCAAGACATTTTGTATGTTTATCTTCTTTCATTTCCCAGATTCTAGACATTATGTATTGAATGGTTTGCATTTTTATTTTTCATTGCGTGACAGTGCAAACCGAGAATAGGTAGACGTCTCCCCATGAGAATTACTCCAAAATACTAGGAATTAGCAAAAAGGTGTAAAATCATTCAATTCATTCAGTTTCTTGCTTGATTAACAAGGGTAAATGCATACTTCATCGTGTTCAATTTCAAGTTAAAAATAAGGATAGACTAATGATGGCTACGCAATAACAACGAATGTATTGACGTTGGGATTTGAAAAAGAGCGATATGGATCTCTAGAGGGCCTGCACGTATCAACTGATGGAGTGGATATATCACTATTTTTAAACTCTCTTGATATTTTTGCCAAAAGAAAGTTTTGTTGAGCTTGTTACAGTAATGAGAATAAACGCCTCCACTTGGACCCCTAGAGTTAACTAGATACCTTGGGCATTTATTAGGTCATTTACAGAAGCCCCCCGAAATTAAGTCATTAATTTTTTATTACTTTAGCCCCATACATGTAGATGAGATAACTTAGGCTCTTACGTTTCTGTGATCATATCAGTTTGTTATTCAAACAAGACATTTAGGTTTCAAAATAGTTTAGCTTATCCTCCTGTCTTCCTCACAGATTTTGCCAATTGGGCAAAAAGTGCAAGATCCACTTTGTGAAAAGTGCTCCTTCCCAATCCTTGTTTATGGCTGACTGGTATGTATAACAAGTATTTACTTACATACTCATCGTATTAACTACCAGCGTGCAAAGAAAGTCGTGTCCGATAGCCCAGGACTAGTGGATTTTAATATTGTTATCAGGCTAGTGAATTTTGTTCTCAATTTACCCTATTGGCAAACGAATTTCTTTTAGGAAATTCACATTACAGAAGAACTGTAATCAATCCTGCTCAT